GGAGGCAGTATGACCTCTGAAACGTTGGTAAACATCGACCAGACTACACAGCGCAACAACCCAGAAGACAGAAATCTTCATACTAAGATCTATTTTAATATTATCCTTCCATCTATGCCTGGTCGTCCAAATGGTCTCTTGCCCTCCGTATCTCAAACTGAATTTCGTATAAATTTCTCGTGTTTTCCATCCCAAGCAGACGCTGCATATCTCTTTCTCTGAGAGCAGAGTCCTTCTTGATAAGCTGGCATGTCTTCAGCTACTCAAGGGAGAGCCACTTTTTAACAACAGTTTATAAAATTGTTATTGCAAGGGACTGTTAGCCCTAACTGAAAGTTTGAGGAACACGCTGTATTGGCTGACCTTAAGACCACTGGCTGTCCTTGCCAGCACGTATTGTCAATGTGGAATAATAATTTCAGGACAACTCATTAATTAACTGGACATTTGTACGTGTACCTGGAACTGGCTTTGTCATTTCAAGTACCCACTCGGTAATCTAATCCCAGTTTTTAATTCAGGCAACTGGAAACAATTGCATCATACGTTATGTAAGCAGGACGAGCAGCTAGTACCTAGAAAAAGGGCACTTTTACAGGTTCCTGCATCAGTGGCTTGGAACGGGCCTGCTCACATCCACTTGTCACCTCTGTTTACACGGGAGATAGCAAATCAGACGACAAACAACTTCCGTGTTCGTTAAATACACAGCTTTGTCAATGCGTTCACTTACTGTAAACACGATACTATGTGCTTCACAACTTTGAAACAGATTTATCTAACACCAATTTTAATATCATCCTTCTACCTACATTTATGCATCCCAAGAAGCATCAGTGTTTGATTTCCTCAACCAAACACAGCATATAGTTCCAGCATTCGATCACTGTGACGACGATAACTGAACAGCGTCCTTTATAAAGCTAATCCCCTGAACAGCGTCCTTTATATACAGCGCGTGAGTAAACGGGACGCACATTTATTGTCATTTCTTGTTTCCTTGACGACATTTCAAAAGTCCTCGCTGGTTCTCGACAAATGAACTATAAAGCTGGTACGGCATTGTTTAACGCGGTTGAAAATTTTTAATACCTTCTCATTCATCTCAGCACATAACTCTTCCTGAAAAACAAAATTTTAATATTTTAATGCTAATTTTTGTATACGCACTCACAGTGTTTGAGAAACAAGAAACTAGGAATACAAGTGGCTAAAATTAGTTTACACTGACAGTGTCGATCCACAGAAACTGTCCAGATCCCATGCTTCGCGTAAAATTTCGATAAGCAGTTGTTGGCCACCCGCCCAACCACACGTCTTGAGGACCACCCCTTATCGACTGTCCGCGGCTGTTTATTCGATATATTTCTTGGCACATTTAACGAACCTAAAATTACTCGGATATATTTTAAGACATTAAAAGTGATCAAATATATAGTCGTACAGAAATAACCACTTAAAACGTGCCCTGACTTCTGCACCACACTGTATATTTTAGAACTCCCTGTAGCATGTGATTTACAGGTGATCAGAGAACAGGATCCTTCCATCCTTTTCTCGGACTGGGACCTGTTCATATACGTTCTTGGCAGATGATCCAGAAGTGGTTTGCCATTGCCTTCTTCTGTGTGTGAATGGAATAATTGTTGGGATGCCACGGAGGAAAACTCCGTGTTGCCTAGACCACGGCCTTGCCCAACACAAGTTATAAATTCGGGCACCGCCGGGAATCGAACCCGAGACCCCAGGATTACAAGGCCAGCGTTCTAACCGCTTGTTTGGATGCCCCGGAGGAAAACTCCGTGTTTCCTAGACCACGGCCTTGCCCAACATAAGTTATAAATTCGGACACCCCCGGGACCCCAGGTTTACAAGGCCAGCGTTCTGACCGCTAGAAACTTGTCAAAATAATCAGTATTTGAACTTCTGACGACGACCGATGTCGCACTGCTTTGACGTACTTTGGCTGTACGCCAGTGTGTCGGCGGAACACTATCTCCTTCTTCAAGGTTCAAGTGACTTTGGCTGCAACCCACAAGGTCATCGTTCATGAAAGGAGACGCTGTTTCATGTTTCAAGGCGACTGCAAGAGGAAATCGTTCCTGGATCTTCTGCTGGAGGCGTCACTCGACGACGTCAAGCTGACGAACGAAGAGTTAAGAGAGGAAGTGGACACATTCATGCGTCAACTAGCTTTCTGCTTCGTCACAATGTCTCCATCCACAAAAAGAACCTTCATTTCAGAGACAGCAACCGAAGTTCGTAAAAGAAGTCTGCGAATCTGTACTGAATTTGTACGATCTGAGGTTTCCTGGCTTGTTTCGGAGGTCCTTGCTGCCTCCATCATCAGGGCTTGACTCATCGCCCTGGTGATGGCGGCAGCAGGGACCTCTAAGACGTCGGTAAACTTATACCAGACTACGAGGCGGCGCTACAACCCAGAAGACAGACACCTTGAACTAATGTTGTATTGCACCACTTTTTTAACGATGTCTATGGAGCGAACTAAGAACAAGACGAAGAATTTTCTGAAAAGTCGGTTTCCAGGGCAACAGTCGGTCAGGAAATCAGAAATGTTGCAAAGTAGCCATCACGTGACAGTTTCAACACTTCAGCGTCGCATTGAGGTCTCTTCGCGTCTCCCCCACGTCCATCGTGAAACATCGGTTAGTTAGTTAGTTGGTTGGTTGGTTGGTTGGTTGGTTATTTAGCTCGTTAGCTGAGGGCTACAAAGACAACAACGCCATGGCGATATGACATTGCAGCTGAGATTATTATTCATCAAACCATCAACATATTTAACCTAGACAATACTGTGAACACGATAACGGACCTCCGGGCCCCATAAAAGACGGGGAGAATTTCTTGGCTAACCGAACGGAATACAGCGGATTCCTGTTAAACCGGGACACATCGGGACCAAAACCCTTTGGCCCAATTAAGCGGCTGCCCCAGAAATCCACTGCACCAACTACTGAAGAACGCCTCTGTTCCACGGAGTTTGTGGTGCGATAAATTAGACGACACTCACACTCTGTTCCCCAGGGTCACGACACGAGTAGCTCTGGGGTGTGCCTGGGCTCTGTTCCTACTCGGGCTGCATCCAGACATACAGGCAAC